AAACATCAGTGACGAACTAGCGATTCGACATCTACGGAATATTAAAGTCTGTCCAAATAACATAACGAGAACGATTTCTTACACACCTACACACAGAAAAAACAGATTGTTCATAAAACAAACTGACAACACAAGAGCCGAAGTACTATTTACGACTCAAGTTTTCGAAAAAAGAATATCTAAAAAATTTTTTTTTTATGTAACTGAGTTGAACTCGTGCATAAAATTATTCTCCCCTCAAATTTACTGAGGCGAGTTTTCTCTTTTTTGTACCTCTATAAAAAAAAAAATTACATAATAAGTGTGGTGAAAATTTATACAATTAAGTTAAAATTAACGGAACCATGGAATCGCAAAAAAAGCTAAACACATGATTAGCTTAGTTTAACTAATTGTCTCTCCATATTTTTTTTTGGTTTTGTAAAAGAAAAAAAAAAGAAAAAACCTATCAAGATTTTTTGGTGTACCTCCCCTTGGTACACGGGTTTCAAAGCAACAAAAAATCGCTGTCATTTTTGTTTGTCTAAATATGGAAGATTTTCAAAAAGTAGTTGCCCAAATGCTAAAAGTAAATTTGGATCGGCAACAAAAATCAGAAGAAAGACAACAACAACTATTTTTGGAATTACATAAACAACAAATGGAATTCCAACAAATTACGCTTCAGAATGCTGAACTGCAACAGAAACAACTTAAAGAATTACTCGTAAATGCATTAAAAGTCTCAAACTCTGAAAAAGATACAATACTCTCCCAGAGTACAATCTACAATTCAATGGAAACCTTTGAATACGTACCAGAGAACGACAAAACGTTCGAGGATTTTTCCAGGCGCTACGAAGATATTTGCAACGTAGACTGTGAACAATGGACCAGTAAAAAAAAGGTACGTCTAATATTGAGAAAACGGGGAACTACAGAACATAGTAGGTTCGTAGACTTCATACTACCACTGAAAACCACTGACTTGGATTTTTCAGAGACTATTAAGCTCCTATCGGAACTATTCGAACCTAACACAACCTTGTTCCACAAACATTGGAAATGCCTGAACACGGTCAAAGACAACCAGCAAGATTTTCTAACGTTTGCAGCATCGGTAAACAAGCTCTGTAATGATTTTAAACTCGCCGAACTGACTGCCGATGATTTCAATTGCTTAATTTTCGCACAAGGTCTAGTATCAGCAGAAGACACCGAAGTCAGACGACGGGTACTGACCGAGCTTGAGAACGAACAAGGATTGACTCTCCAAAAACTGGCAGAGGACTGTCAAAGAGTAATATCTGTAAAGTGTGACTCAAACACTATCGAGGAATCAGATGTGTCTCAGATTAATAAAATCAGAAGCAAGCCTACCTCCTATTCCCCGCAAAAGACAAAAGGCAAATCTCATGTCCTAAATTCCGCAGTAACCAAAACCAAAATAGGTTAAAGAAACCGCCCGGACCATGTTACCATTGTGGTAAATGGCATTGGATGAAATTCTGTCCAGTTCAGAACAAAAAATATTGCAAAAATTGCAATAAAAGTGGGCATACTTTAACTTCGTGCTGGTACGCCAACAGAACGAGAAATCCCCAAAATAAAATTTGGCAAGCTCAATCTGACGCTATTACCGATAGGAATATAAGGAAATATGTAACTGTGGATATTTTCAATAATTCCATTAAATTTCAGCTTCACTCGGGTTCCGATCCTTCAACCATTAATTGGCGTACTTGGCGAAAATTAAAAAAGTCGTCCTTATTAACAACGGAGAAAACAGCAAAATCCGTAACTTGCGAAAAGATTAACATTTTAGGCGAGGTAATACTTACAGTAACACTAAACGGATTTACCAAAAAGCTCAAAGCCTACGTATTGAAAATTTCAGATAACTTATTTGGAACAGATTGGATAGAAAAATTCAATCTTTGGGATTTGCCAATGAGTACATTTTGTCGCAAGATACAACGTACAACGTCCAATTTGGTAAATCTCAAAAAGGAACTCAAACAACAATTTCCCCAGGTTTGTTCTGGCGGCCTTGGGAAATGTACTAAAATGAAAGCTAAGTTCAAGGCGAAGGACGGTGCACAACCGGTATTCAAAAAGAAACGGAATGTCTCTTTCGCTGCTCTAGAGCAAATCAACAAAGAGTTAGATAGACTCGAACAAGCAGGTATTCTATCAAAAACAGATTTCAGCGAGTGGGCAGCACCTACGGTCTACGTAAAAAAGAAGTCCAATCAAATACGAGTGTGCGCAGAATTTTCCACAGGGTTAAACGATGCCTTGCAAGATCACCACTATCCTCTACCAAGCCCTGAAGAAATTTTCAATAAACTCAAAGGTGGAAATTTTTTTTCTAAAATTGACCTCTCGGACGCATACCTTCAGATAGAGGTGGAAGAAGAAAGTTCCAAATTGCTCTACATAAACACCCATAGAGGGTTGTACAAATACAATAGACTGGCTTTGGAGTGAAGGTTACGCCGGCAATTTTCCAGCAGGACATGGACGCCATGCTGGGCGACATTTACTATGCAACAGCCTATTTGGATGATACGGCAGAGAAACGGAACCAGATAATAAACGTATTTCAAAAGATACAAGAATACTGTTTTAAGGTTAAGGAGAAAAAGTGTGACTTTTTCTTACCAGAGATTAAAAACTTAGGGCATATCATAAAGACGGTCGTCAGTCGGATCCAGAAAGAGCCAACGCGATCAGAAACATGCCGGCCCCAGATAACGTTCAAGCGTTACAAAGCTTCCTCGACCTAGCTAACTTTTACCAAGGGTTCATTAAGAACATGCAAAATTTGAGAGGGCCTCTCAACAAACTTTTAAAAAAGGACAAACCATGGTCATGGAATGCCAAGACGCAATTGAGAAGATCAAGAAAACTCTTATTTCGGACCTCTCCCTCACCCATTACGACCCTAGTCTCGGCATCATAGTCGCAAGTGATGCAAGCTCGTACGGCATTGGTGCTTGCATGCTGCATAAAATGCCAGATGGTTCGCGAAAAGCTGTGGCTCACGCATCAAGATCTCTTCTTTCAGCTGAGAGACAATGTTCGCTAGGAAAATCAAGTCTGTCTTCGACAAACTTATTCCACGGCAAGCAAAGTTAAAAAAAAAAAGAAAACGTATCGCCTCTTAAGAAATAATTCAATCCTGGCGATAAAGTCTTTTTCAAGGCTTACAAAAACAACATCACATTCTGGGAAGTAGGCACCATAAAACAAAGAAGTGATGAACTGGTCTGTATTGTCCAAGGTCCGAAAAACACTCACAAACGCCGTTTGAAGGAATCGGAGGAATCACTACAAAATAGCTGTGAAGACCCGATCGATGTAATTTTCGATCACTTCGATCTCGACACGCCCCAAGTCTCTCCTGAAGTCCGACGCTCAGGAAGGAAAAGGAAATTTACTAAACCGCTCGACGTAAATCCCAAGAGAAAAAAGTATTAACAGTTTTATGTTTTTTTTTCTCCTTTTCAAAAAGAAAAAAAATGAAAACTCTTGGAAGGGGGGTATTTTGAGACCGTAAGATACCTACAACATGGACTCTTCCAGGACTATATAAAGGATGCGACATAACACTCTGGAGAGAAGAAGAAGAGGAGGAGAGAGAGAGTATTCTAATACCGTAGTATCAGCCGCGTACGACGAGCAATATTGGGCACTAGCACATAGTAAGCTCCGCTTACACTTACACTATCTTTGTAACCATTTTGTGTAATATACCTTTTTTACCTCTTATCCGTGTTTTCCTTCCGTGGTTCCAACTTTGGGCCCACATCAATATATATATATATATATATATATATATATATATATATATATATATATATATATATATATATATGTAATCATATATATATATATATATATATATATATATAAATTTATATATTCATCTATATACAGAAACATATATACATTCATATATATCTCAAGTTAATATGCAAATCATATACCACTGGAAATCTCAAAACTTTCTCTACCCAATATTTGTCAAATTTAAACTCGATTTAAGCACAATGTTTAATAAGGGATTTTCATGAAAGTTGTGTATATATAAGAAGACATAAGAACACGGTGTTTAATAAAGTATATAAAAAATGAAATGGTTATATATATATATATATATATATATATATATTCACTGGCAGTAAACCCGGCGTTGCTCCGGGTTTTATGTAGTTAAATTGCTTTGGGGTTTGAATTATTGAACGTACGCACGTATCCACAGTTGTTGAGGTCACTAATAGGCCGGAGATCTCACTTTTAGCAAAATCAATGAGATCAAGGGCAACCTGTGGCAATAGGTGGCTTCTGTGTTGCTGCTCCGTGCTTACCCGAAGACTGCCACCCGTTCATAATCGCTCAAGAATTTTTAATTCTGGTAATGTAAAATAGTGGTTGCGATTTCACTGTAGGACACGCCCCTTCACTATTAAGACAATAAGTTTTCCCAGTTTTAAGCGAAATACGCGGGAGGTAATGTCTGTGAGTGTAACCCTGTCCGGGTAGGAGATCACGCGTTATCTCAACCCATTTGCGGATTCAGGTAAACGTTATAAATAAGTCTGGCCGCCCATATTGCATAACGTATGTCATAGCGTCCTGCGTGCGTTCATGCATGTAACGCGGCCCTCATTGTAGGTAGAGGGCAGGATGCACAGCTTTCTAGGTCGCGGGGATTGACTTTATTTCGAAGGCTGTCGCGTAAGAGTATGTAGGAGTCTGAGCGCAGCTGTATCTGATGATTCCTTATAAAACAAAGCCTCTCCGATTCCATCTTAGCGGCCATGTCAACCGCAAACTGGTGGAAAAGATCCCTCCATCTATGAAGTATGTTAAAGTCTCCCTCCCTAACCATGAAACGGTAGGAGTAGAAGGCCTTGAACGAGAAGACTGTGGAAGATGTTTTAGGTTGGCTACCCGGATTATGAAGGAGAATGCCGAAGTGGTAGCCATCGTCACCATAAGGGAAAGTAAATGCGTCATATGATCGATGGGTCTCTGAAATCCTGCGTGCGGTCTTGGTCCCCATATATAATAACGGCCACTTCATTGCACGCAGGCGCATTGTAGCAGCGTTCTTGTTCATCATGAGGCCGTTTGTCGGCGTCAATTACAAGGCTGAAGGAAAGAAAGGGAGCATTTTCCAATGCATATTTGAAACTGCGAATGTAGCTGTTAAGCTCGTAAAGCATGACCTGATGTAGTACTATGACGTCCCGACAGCAGCAAAATACCAATCCGGGTTTCGGCCTGTAGGTTGTAGTCTGCAATAAAGTACATTTGAAGAAATTTAGTCGTAGAGGTTTCCTCAGGCAGCAGAGATACAATGCGGTGATATATCTGCCCCTGTACTTTAAAAGTTGGCATCCAACCCTCTTCTCGAACAACCTGAGCCTCAAATGCGGTCATTTGGAAGGAGTTGTTGTATTGCCTAATTGTTTTAAGGAAGTGGTTGGAGTCAGGATGGGAGCGGGATATTAGTCCCCTCAACGGTGTAGGTGGTTCATGCAGAGATGGCAGTCGAACATTGCCGGAGGAACAGCACAGACCGGCAGGCTCCCTGGCCCATTATCGGGCCTTGCAGAATTGGCAAACGCAGGTCATGGACCCTACATTGATGTCGTCCGAGTAGTTAAGTTAATACCGGGGTCCTAATTGAAATGCAAAAAAGACCAAAATGAGCTACTTGGACAGGTAGATCCACGGGCGGCCGGAAGGCGCTGAATGTCTCCGTCGAGGCGTATGCGGCGAGCTTGGGTAGTTTGAGATAAGCGCACAGCGACCATGTTTGTAGCAGCCCTTGAAAGTCTGTCTGCACTTGTCTGTGTGCCCTCGGTGTTTCTGGTAGCAGAAATCGCTGCAGCATTGCGGGTATTGGGGTTGCCCGCTGCAGCCCTCTCGACTCCCTTAACTTAGCTGTTGCAGCATTGTCCCTGGATTGTTTCAGCTGCCCTCGACCTGGCATTGGGGGCAGTATTTCTAGCATTTCGAACAGAACTACGGAGCAATATCTCAGCAGCCCTAGCAGTCGCTGTTGCAGCAGCGTCCCTGGATTGATGGGCGCGTCTGCGCGCAGGTGTCTCTACTGCCCTCGACCTGGCAGTGGTGGCAGCATTAGTAGCATTTCGCACAGATCCTACTCGCTGTTGCAGTAACGTCTCTGGATTAACGGGCGCGCCTTCGGTCAGGTGTCTCTGTTGCCCTTGACTTCGATGTGGCACCTCCGTTTCTTACGTTACGAAGAAGACTTTGATGATGAGTCTCGGAAGCATAAGATGCAGAGGCAGTTGCTGCAGCCATTGCGTTCATTGTTGACCGTTGTGCATTCTTGAGCCTTGGTCGCAACGGAGCCCTGTAGGCTGATTTCCCAGCCATGCAGGGTATGATTTCATCGATTTTTAGCCGTTAATTGAAAGCAATATTGAAAACGAAAGTCAGCACCTCAATACTGTCGGTAAATACTATGCTCAACAGGAATTTTGCTGAAAATTCTTCGCCATTTGCAAAAAATATAGCTAAAAATGAGTTAGACTGAACTTGAATCGGATGTCCCAAAGTGGTCGATTGTATCGATTTTTTCCGATAATTGATATCGATATTGAAGAAAAATATCTGCACCTAATAAATTTTGATAAAACTATTGCTCAACATGATATTCGTGAAAATTCCTTGCAGTTTGCGAAAAACAGATCCAAAAATCAGCTACATTGGATTTGAATCGGATGTCCCAAAGTGATAGATTTTATCAATTTTTTTCCGATATCTCTTACCAGTTTTTGAAAACAAAGAACATCACCTCAAATCTTTAAGTTATGACATTGCTCAACGTGAGTTTGGTGGATATCACTTGTAATTTGTGAAAACTATCACTGAAAAACTGATGAATTTTTTTCGAATCAATATTCGACCCCCTATATTTTTTATTGATTTTTTCCAACTTCGGAGAAACAATCGAAAAATCCGAAGATGTCAAGTACGAATGTCCTAAATTTTCGATCTGTATGTGAATTTTCATGCCAATCGACGAATGTTTTGCTCGGGATGAGGTAACAAGTTGACAACTACACAGACACACAGACACAATAACAGAATGCCATTTATAGATACAGATATATATCTAAAGATATTATGCAAGTCAGTTCAACCTAAAAAAATCTCTAAACTTTCTGAAACCAATATTTTTCAAATATAAATTTTATATAAAATTAATTTTCCTGCCATTTTTATTGGTTAGATTTTGCGATATGAGTAATTTATGAAACTTTACTGACTGAAGATAGTTTGACGATTAAACCTATATTCACTTAAAACCTCTGAAATCTCATTTTTTTCTTTTTGCCCATAATCTATGTTGAAAGATGGCTAAAATGAAGGATCAAACATTTGCAGAAAAACACAAAAATAATAATGTTGTCATGTGAGAGAATGTGCACAGAGGATATATCAAAGAGATCATCAAATGATGGAAAGGGCTGTTAAAATTTTAACATTTTTTCAAAACTCGAAGTAGAGTCAAATGTTTTAAGAACTTTCTTCCTCGATATGCACTTCAAGTGAGTTATAGCAAAACAGCTACAGTTTACCATCTCTGATGCACAGACACACACATATACATATATATAGTAGTGGATATTTGCATGTTCTAATATAACACTCAATAATAAAAAAAATATTACTTGCTTTAATTTTGTATTTAGCCTGTTTCAAAATAATGTTTTGATTGCTGAAATCCTACTCTTTGTTTTGTACCTTTGAGTACACACACATACATATATATATATGTACGTATATATATATATATATATATATATATATATATATATATATATATATATATATATATATATATATAGTGGGAAGAAAAAGAAAAGTCTATATATTTAAAAGAAGAGAGAAACTGCAAAGGTAGTTGTTTGTAATGTTGAATTTTTGGGGAAAATAACGCACAATACATATTTTTTAAAAAATCCACATTACAACCAAAAAACGTTTGAGGTTTCTCTTTCTTCTTGTTTAAATATATATATATATATATATATATATATATATATATATATATATATATAATGAAGAAGAGTAAATTTTTTTTTTGTGTTTTATTTAAGTATATATATATATATATATATATATATATATATATATATATATTAAATAAAACACAATCATAAAATTTTTTAATAAATACTTAAACCATAATCAAAATATAGTTGTCTAGAAATAAGAATAAATAATAATAAAGAAGATTATGTAACTGTTGGATTCCTATAAATTTTTTGTTGAATGATTAATGTCTGACAGTATAGTTTACCAATGTTTATCTCATCTATTGTGAATCTTAATATTAAGAAAATTTTGTTTTGTTACCACTAAAAATAATTTTAAATTAGGTTGGAGTCAACACTTGTCTTACTTAAAAAATAATCTGTATCGTAACCAAACATTCCTATCCAAATATTTTGGCATTGAAAGAACCAAATAAAATATCCACTAAATGGAAATTATTTAAAAGAAGATAAATTGTTGGTCTTTAAATGACTCATATCCTTTTTGCATACATGAAGATTTATATATTATTACGTTTCTGAAAATTAAATATTTATTAAATCAAAGAAAAGAAGTGAGAAAAGGCTTTACCCGAAACTAATTCCACACACTGGTTGACTGCTATCTTGCGCCAAAAAGGTAAAAGACACCGCAAGTGTTATATCAGGTTTTCCTTTTCTTTGATGTCTACCTTGACGAAGGCTGATGGGGAAACGCTTCGTGCGATATTACGGCGCCCTTAGAAATCAATCTGTGGACTTCTACACTCCGGCACAATCTGTTAACCCATAGCTGGGGCCCTAATATGTGTGTGTCTGTATATATATATATATATATATATATATATATATATATATATATATATATATATATATATATTTTATATATATATATATATATATATATCTTCAGAACATAGAAGACAAGCTGCAAAAATCATCTTACCTCGTGTAGGGGTATCTATTAATGTCTGTCTCTAACCCGCGGAATTGTTTTAAAGATATTTTGAAGAGCAATCTGAATGCATGGCAAATGGACGTGTAGCATAAGCAAGACAAAATTTAAATCGTACAGAGAAGAGGTATTTTATAATGTATGGTTGTAATGCCATTGTTGAAGAATGCCTAATTCATGCTCGGAGGAATTTTGGCCTACGAAAAATCACACACTCTGATTGTACAGCTAATACGAAATCTTGGAAATGCGGTCTGTATAGGCGCCTCTTTTGTAAAACATCTGAAAGGTCATTAATACAAACAACAGCAAGCCAACCATGCCAAAATTACGTGTAATATTTGAAAAAATATGTTTGCAGATCTACATCTAGACTGAGAAAGCAAATGGTGGTACATTTAATATTCTTCGTTTTGAACTTAACGCTGTCGTTGAAAATAGACTCAGTGTTTACTAATTATTTCAAAACTGGGTTGGTGAATATAATTTATTAGATTTCGCAATTTTATTTTATATTTGGAGTCATTGCATCCTTTATCCGTTACATATTACGTCTTCTTCCATTTAAGATTGGCTTCATATATTTATTTTAACAATTACATTTCATTGTAGGTTTCCTTTTGATAAATATGTATGAAATAAATTGATAAATAATTCCAATGAAATATAGTTGCTTTGGTGACAAAATTTAGAATATATTTTGGATACAAGTGTTCGGTTTGAGGAAGAATTGGACAAAACATTATTTCAGAAATATAGAGTATTCAATGTGTATCAATTGAGGAATAGAATTTAGAGAGAAAGAAAGCAATAAAAACTCACGCGAGAATGAAAACAAATAAAAGCAACAATTAGAAAGTAAATTAAGAAAGCAAAACAATAAAAGAGGAAGATTAAAGAATAAGTAAAAAGGAATATATGAAAAGAAAATTAACAACTGAATAGCTATAGACTAAATGTGAAACGTAAATTTCAATAATGTAGGTGTTAACAGCGGACAGCTTAGAAGAAAGAATAAATGAATGAAAGGACCATATATAAACTGATAAAAGACGAGAACATTCCATGAGTGATGACAGAATTTCAACTTTAAATTTATCAGCACTTGACGTCACCTGTTCCTACTTAAACATTCATCATGATTGAAATATTTTATTATCCATAAAGCAATAAATTGGCAGAATCAAATATTCCATATTTCCTGCAACTGGTATATTCGATTCGACGAATTTCTTTTTGTTAATTTCATAATTAAAAATTAATATGACAACATTTACTTCACTATTTCTTTGTATGCTATATTGCGACCAGTACCTTTAGATCTCAGAACAATTATAAAAAAAATGGTTCTAAAATGAAATGCAAACATTTCAAATAATCAAAAACATTATTTGCTTTTCTAATATTCCTTGTAATCTATGAATACATGTGAAGCATTTGTAGGTGTTGAAACCGAAACTGATCATAGAAATTTATAATATTTTCAGACTATAACACGCAGGCATTCAACACGGTATCAAAAGACCCTTGCGTGCATTTGAAAACGTATTCAGGATACGTTGAATATCATAGATATTAGAATAAGACAGAACCTATACGGGTATTAAAAGGGCTGCACACGGATAAAGGATGAATTCAGTTAATATACAAAAATTGAAAGGGGTGTAAGTCAAAAATGTGTCATCTAATTGGAATTACTGTAAGGTGATTCTGAGAGAATTAGAAGCAATTCCAGGATTTATTATTTGAGGCCACAATCTTAACAGCATAATGTATGCAAATGACACAATGTTGTTAACAGGCACCGAAAGAGAAATACATAATCCCTACAGATGGTAGTGAAGGAAAGCAGGAAGTAAAGACTATAGATCAGTTGCAAGTATATAGAAGTCAGAGTTGTTAACAAGCGAAACAGACCGATATGCAAATTAACAATTGGAGATTCCAAAATCAAACAAGTACAACCAT